ATCTAGATACACTATATCCACAGCATTGCCAGACTCAACCATTTTGGTAACTCTGTCAAAAAAGGAGATAAGGTTGGTCTGGTATGACTTATTTTTAATAAACCCATGCTGGCTACTACCAATTAACTCATTCCGTTCAAGGTGCTCACAGACAGAGCGTTTAATAATCTGCTCTAGAATTTTCCCAGGTATTGATGTCAAGCTGACAGGCCTGTAATTTCCCAGGTCTGTCTTTTTTCCCTTCTTGAAGATCGGGACAACATTTGCTCTTTTCCAGTCTTCCGGCACAACACCAGTACTCCAGGACATCTCAAAGATTAGAGCCAGAGGCTCTGAAATGACATCTGCAATTTCTTTTAGCATCCTGGGATGCAAGCCATCTGGCCCTGGAGATTTGAAAGTATTTAAGGCAGCTAGATGCTCTCTAACCATTTCCTTACTTACTCTGGACTAGCAGTTTCTCCTTCCTTCATATGCCCTGCATTCTTCAGTTTGCATACAGCTCGCCTTACGGTTAAGCTAAGGATGGCTTTCCATCTCCCATTATATACTCAACTTTGTGGAGTAAGTTAGGCTAAGAGAGAGTGACTGGTCCAGTAGGCTTCTTGGCTTAACCCAGATTTGAACCCAGATGTTCCTATTGAAGCCCAGCTCTCTAACCACTAAGCCATACCAACTCTGTGCATATGCATCACCACACTGTTTACACCTGGATCTGCATCAATCACATATAAAGTAGAAGGATAGGGTGCCCGACTTTTTGAGCAAAAGGGGTGGCAGTGATGAATTCCCACCCCCTTCCTCCCGCTCACCTCCCCACAGTCTCTCCCAGTATCATTCCCCTCCCCTGCCCAGCTGTTCTCAAATAGTTGCTGTAGATTTTCCGGGTTGTGTGGCTGTGGTCTTGGCACTGTAGAACCTGACATTTCACCAGTAACTGTGACTGGCATCTTCAGTCACAGTTACGGGCAAAACGTCAGGTTCTACAATGCCAAGACCACGGCCACACAACCTGGAAAATCTACAGCAACTAATGAACTCCGGCCGTGAAAGCCTTCGACAACATATTGTTCTCAAATACCTGAAGTGAGCATGACTGGGAGGAAGGAACTTGGCTTCATGAAAGTAAGTCATACGTGCAAGGAGCACCCTCTCAACCTGCGTGCCTCTTTTGCTCTAAAAAGATTGGAAAATCTGAGTGAGTCAGATGACCTGTGTTTAAACCAATGGTTCTCTCACCACCGTCATCACCACCACCACAACGGGTAGTTTATTCATTCATTGATTCTGAGCCTTTTGAAAGCACCTTTCCCTGAAACTCCATGTGGGTTACAATGATACTGAAAACACCATACAGTTAAAAATCCACAAGAACTAACAAACAGTCTAGTTATCCTCGTCTAGCTATGTTTGTTACTTGTTACTCGCTATCCTTGTTACTATGCAAGTTAGGTGCTCAGATGAAAGCCAAAAAAACCCCCATTATTGTCTGCTGCAACTCTAGTCACCCATGTTTATTGAGCTTTTTCCCCCTACTTGTTCTTCAGCCAGAATACCAGTGCTAGTGACAGTAAGCAGGGTGAATGAATACCAGCCTGAGTGCCCACAACGGTTCTCCTTCAGTATACCAGAGGATGCTGCCTTTGGAGACTTTGTTGCCAATGTCAATGGCACTGACCGAGACTATCCCTTCAACAATATTGAATACAGCATCCTTGGAGCACAAAATGTTTTCTACATTGGTCGTCGCTCAGGTAACCATATTATTGTAGGGCCCCTGCAGGCTTACTGATATGATCTACTTACAGTCCTACTTCCCAGGGTTTATTTACCACATATTTATTTACCACGTTCCCACTCCCTAGGCTTTATTTATCATATATCTAGGTCCACCCCTTACTCTCTATCTCATGTTGCCTCAGGATGAGGGCTTTTCTTCTCTCATATCTAGTGTCAAGCATGGTAGAGATGCAAATGGACATACTTGAACTGTAGCCCTTATGGTCAGTTGTGCCCAGCTTGGACTACTAGCCTTTTATCACAATGTGGTCTATTTATGTTATTTCAGAAATGAAATAGTAACTTGTTTTTCATGACTCATGAGGTTGTTATGTATGTAATGGGATGAAGCCTATATCAGAGTATTACAAGTTCATATACCAGGCCCAGAGAAATGATGCTTGGGCTCTGCGCATACCCATCACTGAACTGAATCCTGATCCTACCAACTTCCTGAGGACTTTTCTTGGCTATCTTGTGGACAATGGGTTGGTTCCACACAGCTTTTCACCTAGTGAAATAGGAATGAAGGGTCTCCTTTGACCACCCAAATATGTTACTCTGGGGATCGTAAGACCTGCATGGACAAAAATTATGAGGGATAGCTGCTGTGATAAGGAGGGGAACTGAACAGGGTAGAGTGAAAAAGCTGGATGGATCCAATCCAGTGTCTCAGGATTTATAGGACATTGCTCTTTACTCCTTTGGAGCTCATACTTGAGATCACTTCATATGTATTAGTTAACATTCTTTAACAACATGACCACAGTCAAAATTAAAGTGGTTAAACTAAGGAAGCGGAAATTCTAATAAATGTTGGCTGTTGCAAATATGGTTCCAGGAGGTGATTGTTATCACTAAGTAACTATTTCCAAAACTACAAATATGTAGGTAAATCCACACGGTCACGTAAGACACATGTCTTGGAACACGTCACACAGAAAACACAAATACATGGATGTGCCTCGTGTTCAGCATTTCATAGAGAAAGATCGCTAAGTAACTAACATGAAGTACAAACAAATGGTCTTGTGTGTGTGCCACAGGAAATCTGTATGTATTGGGTCCACTGGACTATGAAGAGCAGAAATCATATCCACTGACCATCAACCTGAAGGATCTGGACAATGATGTAAATCCACAAGCACAGCACATAAAACAGTGTAACATTACTATTAATGTACAGGTAAGTTGAACATGGGGAAAGAAAGATGGGGGTGGTGATAGTGGTGGCTTCTAGTGCACTTTACTGAAGTTCAGGTGTTTAGGGGGAGCCAGTCCAGCCTGGAAGCCTGAGATTATGATATAGCCTTATTTATGTCATTTCCCAAATAAAACAGAAAAGTTTCCTTCATGGGTATGTATGGAACTAGATACTAGGATGGAGGGACATTACAAATTTTGATGAGTCCAGAGAAATGGTGCTTGGATTCTAAGAATATGGTCTGTGCCACTAAGGCCCAATGCTGTATGTTCATTATGCTAGTACATAAACTGCTAATAGCATACTAAAATGATATAGGCAGCCAAAATACCAGTGTTTTAGATCACCGTTTTTATTTTGTTATTTTTATGTCCTGCTTTTGAGCCATAATGTCCTCAAAGCAGTTGCCTACCATGAGCCATACTTTCTCCTTTGCCAACACTTGTACATGCAACAGGGCACATGTAAAAATGCTTTTCCCATTAAACCTCTCTGAATACCATATTCTGCCCTGACTCTGAAATCTTCAAAAGGCCCCAAAAGGTTTTACTTATTGCCTGGTCTCATTTATAGTATCCTAAATTTTCTTGCACTTGGAAAACATAGCCTTTCTCTTTTGTCATGCAGCAGGGTTGCCATCTTTGCTTCCTGGCTGTCAGGAGCCAGTGCCTGGTTGCCACTCAACCCGGCCCCATCTGCCAGGATGCTGGAACCACCTCTCTTTCCCAATTCTGAGGCTGGTGGGCAAGTGTCGCTCTTTAGTGGTGGGACAGCAGATGGCAGGACGACTATCGCAGGGGTGGGGGAGCCTCACACTGTCTGAAGCTCTGTTTCTGTGATAGTTTCATGGCAAGCAAAAATGTCACTGTCACTACATCTCCTTGAAAGGAAAACTGCACTTTGTGAATTTCTGCATGTTGTGCTCCTGTTTAAAGCACAGGGGGAAAAATGAGACATCTGTGTGTCCCTGACTATTCTAATGATGGTACTGTCAATTTTTGTTGTATTAGGAGAGGCAGGGGGACAAAAAATCTTGCGAGTAATGATAGGTGTTTGTAATATGTTTTTATGAATAATGAAAATGAACATGCTTAAAACCAGCTCTGTTGGGACTCAGGTTGTGAAGACATTCAATTCTTTTTGCGTAGACTTTGTGAGATTTGACATGGCATGTGGCAAGCAGTCAATTGCAGAACACCTGAGGGGGTGTGACGCCTGCTATCCCCTGCTTCACAGAGGAATGCAGAAAAGGAGTCTTAATTTGGCTGATGCGAAGCATCGTACAGGCTCACAGAGGCTGTGATTGCTTATTTACCACTTGGGGCAACAGTGATAATGGCAAGTAGGTGAAGGAAGATCAGAAATACTCCATCCCAATATTCCTAGTGTGCTAAGACATATGAACCCTTTCCCTGTCCCTAGAATGTGAATGACCAGGCTCCTGTGTGTACCCCAGAAATTGAGACGCGTACCATATATTCCACATTGGCCAGCACAACAAACATCATGACTCTGCAGTGCCACGATGATGAAGAAGGAAGTCAGCTGAGCTACGCCATTGTTGGCGGTACGGAACGGATGGGGCAGAGTGTGAGAAAGCGGATTTAATCAGGATGAAAACCATATCATCTTTGGGCTCCAGCAAACCTAGTGGAGAAGGTGGACTTAGGGTGGTACTGCACATTACATTTAGTTCTGTGTTAACTTTAGAATGTTTTCCCCCCAGTGCAGTCACTGGGGCTGCTTTATTGAGGAAGAGAATGGAAGGGGCAGGGCGAGAGAGTGGAAGGCTCTTCTTTAACCTTTTCATCCAGTGTCATTTTCCCACTAAAAAGGCCACTGTGGAGCCACTGAAGCTGCTGCAGCAACTGTACATTGGAGGGAAAGTCTATAAAAATTAAATGGAACTAAATACAATATGTTATTCTGCCCTCAGAGGAGGTAGGTATGTGCTGCAGAGAGGATTAGATAGTTGCAGTGGAAGAGAGTGTGCTAGTAATGGGAGTACAGTGGGGTAGGAAAGGCAACATTCTCAAGGGGCAGAGAATATGAGTTTGCTTGAGAAATGGGGTGTGCAAGCCTCTGCCAGGATAGTTTTCCCTCAAAAAGTGAATACGATGCTCTGAACGTATCTATACTTACATACTTAAACTGGCTTATTCTCCCTAGAACTGCGAATTGTAGGTGGATGAATCAGGCTAGGAATCTCTCACAGAGATCTGAGATCACACTCACCAAACCCTAGGATCCCCCAAGTTAAGTTGTAACAGTTTTAACTGGTAAAAAGCTCATATATGAGACCACAGTCTAAATATGCCCTCTTGTTTTTTTCTCCCAGGCAACATAAATGGGCGATTTTACATGAACGACAATAGACTGTTCCATAATACATTCTCCTACAACCGTGATGGCATTTTTGACCCGCTCAATTTTGAGCTTCTGGTGGAAGTGACGGATAGCCGTAGCACACCTCGCCTTAGCACTACAGCAACCATTATTGTTCATGTGATCCCTTGGACAACTACAGTGCCTACTACTGCTGCCGTTACCACCATGGTGAGGGGACAGATATAGACATGCTGTAGTTAGGAACCTTTTGCGCAATGTTATCTGAATCATTGAAGTTTCACACCTCTACCATCACTGCCTTATACTCATAGCAGCCTCAAAGCATCCTCAGGCTGTGTCCAGTAGGGGCGATTCTGCATTGGCTTTTCTCTCCATTATTTTAGCAAACAGAAATTCCCCTCTGCATTGCATGCTGCTTTCACTTTCTTTGATCATCGGATTTTATGGTACCTTCTGCATAGATTTATGGCCGTTCAGGAGTGACTTTGTAGTCAGTAGGACGTTGGCCCGGGGTAGCTGAGTGGTTTTGAGCTGCACCTTTTCCTTCATGTTGAGAAAATCTGGAGCGAATGCCAGATGCAGAACCAGCCATGAGCAGTGATTCTCAACCAGTGGTATGCATACCACAGGTGGGATGCAGAAAGAGTCTAGGTGGGATGGAGGGTTTTCACAACAATTACTGAGAATTCACTCTCCCTCAATCCCCATGTCCATGTGCAAATGTGACATGCTGTTTCCTGCTGACCCTACCAGCTACAAATTATCAATCTGTGACCTTTAGGTATGTTAGTAATAATAACAAAATGCTTGTAAATATACAGATGCCCTCCTTGGAAAAAGTTACCTTTTTGTATTTATCATTGTGGAACCCAGTTTCTTTGACAGTGATTGGTGAGACATAAGATATGAAAGGTTGAGAATTACTGCACTAGGAGGTCCTGTTTTGCTACCCAACAATGTAAAATAGTTGATTGCTTGCATAATGTTGCAATGGTTCTGCAGAAGAGAAGGGTAATTAGTGGGATACTATGCTGTACAGTGCTTGTGTCGATACTGCATAGTTTTCCCTTACTAGCAAACCCACTTAGTTCCAGAACTGCCTGGTGGGTATTTGTACAGTATATTTTCTTGCAGATGGCATTTGGGACCAAGGCATATATGAAGGAAATGTAGACCCACAATCAATCAGGGTTCAAAACAATTTGTCCTCGTTGATGATCTGCATCTAGAAGCTCATGAGGGGACTGTGACCCTGTTATTATATCTGAGACTCTTAATGATTACATGAAATTCTTGGATGTACTATTTTATGGTGTAATGGTCCTTATCTGAACGTGTGATCTCAGGGGTTGCTTCTGAGTGATAGCTGGTATGCTACATCAGAATTATCTTGTGGAATATGGGAAGGTTTTATTTTGACCCTAGTAGTAGTTAACTTCTATATTCAGCTATGGAAGAGATCATCAGACTAAGAAGTATGGTGTTAATATGCTGATGACCCCCACCCCTACTTTCCTTTTTCATCAGATGCAGAAGCAGTGGGTGTTTCCTTGAGGTCACTGCCTGAATATTGTTTAGGGTCCAGGCAAAAGATAATAAGCAAAGTGAATTCCACAAAGACAAAATTATGTTGGTGGGTGATCAGTAGAAATTGAGAAAGTAGGTATTCTGGTCCTGCATAGTGGCAAAGAGTCATTTGGCTGGTAAGTCAGCTGTGTTTTCCTCAGGAACTGGGATCTGGCCACAATTGGCTATGCCGTGGTAATGTCCATTAGTGCTATGCACTTTGTGTACTGTTGCATTTGAAGATGATTTGGAAGATGCAATTGGTACAGAATGCCAATTATCAATGGGGGCTGCATACAGCAATCATATTGCCCAAGCAATCATATTGCCCAAATTTAGCTCCCATTTTGCTTCCAGGATGAAAAACATAGGAAGTAGCCTTATATATACTGAAGTCAGACCACTGGTCTGTCTCTCCAGTACCCTCTGCTCCGACTGTCAGTTCTCGTCTTTCACAAACTCTGCTGCTGATGCTTTTAATTGGAGGTGCCAGGGGTTCCACCTGGGACCTTCTGCATACAAAGTAGATACTCTGTTGCTGAGCCATGCCTCTGCTTCTTCTGTTCAAGGTGCTGCAGTACTCGTTGTCTTATATAAACCAGGTGTCCATTAGTGCTATGCATTTTGTGTGCTGTTGCATTTGAAGATGATTTGGAAGATGCAATTGGTACAGAACACCAATTATCAATGGGGGTTGCATACAGCAATCATATTGCCCAAGTGCTGGCATTTAGCTCCCATTTTGCTTCCAGGATGAAAAACATAGGAAGTAGCCTTATATATACTGAAGTCAGACCACTGGTCTGTCTCTCCAGTACCCTCTGCTCCGACTGTCAGTTCTCGTCTTTCACAAACTCTGCTGCTGATGCTTTTAATTGGAGGTGCCAGGGGTTCCACCTGGGACCTTCTGCATACAAAGTAGATACTCTGTTGCTGAGCCATGCCTCTGCTTCTTCTGTTCGAGGTGCTGCAGTACTCGTTGTCTTATATAAACCAGGTCCCTGAAGGAAGGGCCCCCACCTACATATTGCTCCCTAGTAGGCACTCAGATGCAGAGATAATGCTTAGCATGCCTTCCTTTAGAGAAACTTAATCTGTGAAAATACAGGACAGTTGTTTTCAGTGGTGGGATCTACATTATGGAACAATAGCATCCCAGTTAAGGCCTTCCTGTCCTCTTCTCTTGTATGTCTAAGACAAGTTGAGATCTCTTGCCTCTCTTTTTTGTTAGAAGTGGAGACTCAGTATGTCATTCATAAGTGACACCTAAGATACTGAACTCCCTCCAGCTTGGCAGTGATGATGGTTAGAATAATTGCTTAAACAGTTGCACTGCAACTTTGATCCATAAAGGTTAAGAGGATGTAGTAATAGTTTATAGGTAAAGATAAAGGTTCCCTTGCTCGAAAGCCAGTCGAATCCGACTCTAGGGTTGCGGTGCTCATCTCCGTTTCAAAGCCAAAGAGCCAGCGCTGTCCGAAGACATTTCCGTGGTTATGTGGCCGGCATGACTAAACACCAAGGCGCACGGAACACTGTTACCTTCCCACTGAAGTGGTACCTATTTATCTTCTTGCAATTTCTTGCTTTCGAACTGCTAGGTTGGCAGGAGCTGGAACTAGAGACGGGAGCTCACTCCGTCATGCGGCACACTCAGGTCTTGAACTGCTGAACTACCGACCTTCCACAGCCTGCAGTTCAGCGTCTTAACCACTTGAGCCACCGCAGCTCCCAGTAATAGTTTATAGATACACATAATTTAATCCTTTTCATAGCTGTAATAACATGATGTTAATATTTACCACAACTGCTAAATGTCACTTAATTCTTACTTTGAAAAAAATCATTCCCTTCGTGCCTTGCTGAAAGTACAGAACACACAGCCAGTGTGACAGGGAGGTCTAAAGTACCTCAGCATTTTACTATGGATTAAGAGCATCCCTACACATGCAGGAACTTACAGTGGGGTTCAGGCTGAATCAGTACCCAATGATTCCTCTACTTGAAAGACTTCACAGACTTCTGCAAGTGGAATCTGGCTTGCCTTAGTTCAGTATGTGGTTCTATGTGATGGACCGATCTTATGATTTCAGATGGCAT